ACCTAAAGATTTTTCTCTTTAGCTTAGCTTTTCTCGAACTTTATAAGATTCTTTCCTAATGGAAAGATTTAACAAACTGAAAACAAGTACGAGCTAGGGAAGCATGATAATCTGGACAATTAACTTCTGCACATCTTCTTCGTCATCCTACATTACTAGTAGGATGGCGAATTCAAATGAAAGAGATACGAATGCTAAGATCATTCAGTTAGAAGACATATTTCCTAAGAGACACGATAACTAACATATCAAAGTTGCAAAGATACCAAACTCAGCAAATGAAGAGCAAGAGATTACAATGAGATCTCAATCTCATACAGACGTTGCTACAGTAAAACGAAGGGTTTTAATTAAACTTGTAGGAAATTGAGGAACGAATCCAACGTTTCAGTTCAAACAATTCTCAGTTCCTGCATTTCCTCAGAATCAAAGAGGCGCATGCTAAGGAAATTGAAGTACCTCTCCTTCCGCTCTTGAATGTTCTTCATCTGAGCTCTGTAATGATTCTCTATAAACTTCTTAGCCACCGCCACTTTCTCCATCGTCAGACTCGAACCTTGCACCTCTTCTTCCGCCCTCTCTTCCTCCTCCCGATCCTCCATTTAAGATCCGTAGAAGAAAAAAAAAAACCTCAACAGTTACAAACACACACGCGCACACTCTCTCTGTGCAACCGCCGATGAGAAACCAGACCGAAGCAACGCCTCCGGCGAACCTCGGCAGTAACTTATAGCAACAGTTAGAAGAAATGGAAGAGAAGGAAGTTCAGTGAGAGCATAAATCCCATTTTCTGAAGTTCTGAACCCAAAGACACTTCGGCATAGCCCCTTTTTCTTATCTGCTGCTTCGAGCTTGGATACACATTCAATCCCACTCGGACTTTCTTTCTCAAGCGGCTTGGCTTTAAATAATCAGCTCACCTACGTGGCGTCCTTCCATTGGATTTTATATTTTGTTGGCTTCATCTGGCGCTGTAGGTGATTGCAGCTCTTTCCAGGGTTCTGAGTTGGAGGCGAGTGATGATCACGCGCCTAGTATTGCGATGTGGGAGTGTCGGACCCGTAAGAAAGGAGAAGCATCGCTGTCCAGCGCTGAAATGACGTCTTAACGCATTTTTAGTACGTGAAAACTGTAAGACTTCACCCGCTCATCCATTTCCCCGATTAGAACGTGTTGTCCACTCTCTTGCTCCCCCGTCAGCTTTTTTTTTTTTTTTTTTTTT